ATCATCTCTGTGCACATTCTCAGTACTTTCTTAAATAAACTCAGCCAGAACAGTTTTTCTCTTTAACGTTGCAGTAATGTATATTGTTACTCCAGGCTATATGCTGTGTGTGTAGTGTGTGTGTGGTGTGTGTATGAGTGTGTGTGTGTGTGCACATATAAGTGCAATAGAGAAAGACAGATTTTTTAACTTTATAGGTATAAGTGTATTTTCCATTTCATAGCTATAAAATATAATGCTTATTGACACACTATTAAAATAACCAGTAGATGCTGATAAGGTGCACAAAATCACAAGATGCTCTGCATTAAACTTCCACAGCTGACTTCCCACTGGAGAGCACCAACAGGGTTCTCATAATGACATCTTGGATGGTGAGACTTTAATTACTCAGCTAGTGCTCAGTATAGCAACTACACTAACAGGAGACAATCAACATATGTAATTCTATAAACTTTCATTATTGATTACAGGGGGGAGCAGAATGTATTTGTATAAGATATACAATTTAAATATGGAAGTAAACCAGAAGGCACGCTCTGAAGGGCTGCACGGTGCCTTGGTTGCTCAGCTTGCTCACAGTCTCACTGACCTGCTGGCTCGCACTGCCAGTCTGTGGTGGCCATTCTGCTGCTCCGACAACTCCTACTGGGATCTCTACCTTCATTCTCCTTGATTCATGGGTCAGAAACTTATCACGCTGTAGTCCTATAAATGTGCTACTTCTGACCACTCTGAATTGACTTTTATTTCAAATTCATTTTGACCTAAGCTTCTAGTACAAGTGTTCTAAATTAGAGGTTGAAATTCAGAGTCAAATATTAATTGTAAGTCACCATTGCTTAACTATAAATTTGCTCAACATACACATTGAGGTTCCACAATGTCATCTAAAATTTCAGAAATTTTGGTGACATGAAAAATTTCTATTAATGGTCATTAGTTCAATTGTCTCTATTTCCATTGTAATTTTTTGAACATAGTAAGTAAAAAGAAGATGCCACAAAAAGGGAGATGTGAATTTGTAATATTTAAGCTGTAGCCCTTTAGCCAAGGTCAGGTTTCTATTCATTAATATGCAATGTGCTTTTCAAGTTACAACTGAGAAATTATACCAACTCAAATCCCATGCCCTTCAAAAATATTTCCAGAGCAAAACATCTTTAGTGCCCAGTGTGCAACAGAAGTGTCTTCTTTTTGTCCCTTTTGAATCTTTTTTTTAATGAAAAACATGTGATTTCTGAAATCCCTTCAAATGTGTACGATTTGTTGACAGAAGTGGTTGCACGGTTGCTACCTCCTGAGGGAAATTCATTCTATCAATTAATATTTGTAAGAGCTGCCAAGGGACTTGGAAAGAACTGAAATGTAGGACATTTGGCAATAATGAATGGGGTGGATTGAAATTAGACATTGGTCACAGTCTGATGAGTGGGTGGAGATAAAACACTAAAGATAGTATTCACTTAAGAGTCTCTTTTTCAGTGTGAAACTTTTTCCAGATAAACATTTTTCCTCTTCATTAAATCATGATCAAACCTTGCCTTACAGTGCCAGACAATAGAAACATTTTTCTTCATCTGCATTAGACCTGTGTTCTGTCATGATGCTAAGTGATCACTTTGCCTGTTTGTGGTTCAAGTGGGGTGTAAAAATGCACAGCAGAGTTAAATACTGAGGGCATTCGCAGTGTTGGTGATGCATGTGTGCAAGAAAACGGCTGTTAAGATACTTGCAGGACCTTGAGCAAATGTCTCACAAGAAAATTTTGTCAATGATTCCATTATCTTTACTGCTATAACTTTCTCCCATATTAGAAGTTTTCTTTTCAACTTGTAACACTGCATACTGTCCAGAAAGCTATGTGTCTTTCTGTCAGAATCTCTACTTAAATAGTAGAAACATCAATTGTCCTTATTTCTGAAGTTACAGTAAATCTTTCAACATGCCTTGGTGTCCTCACAATGAGTAGTGGAACAACTGCTCCCTTTAGATTCAAAATGAGAGAACAGTTTTCTAAGAATGAATCAACTCTTACTTCCATTTTAATTCTTGTTATTTTTTTCCTGGAAGCTGATTTTATTTCCATTCTACTCATTAGTCTTACAAATCTTTACAGAAAATTAAGAAATTTGTTAGCCCATAATCTTTTCAAATCACTCATTTATTTCTGAGACTCCAAATGTCTATGTATAAAGAAAGAGATCTCTGGGCAGATGGGATAGTCAGAGAGCTATAGATATGGGTGTGATTATAGATATATGCAACAGTCCTAGGGAAAAATGAGAAGAATAGAGGTGGGTAATAGTTAATTGATTGTGTCAATTTGCGTAAGAAACATTAAGTAAACTGGTTCAGCATAGTTGTGTGTATGAAATACACACCTTGGTGAAGATTGTCACCAGGGAGAAAGAAGGCTTGTTTTGGCTTCTTCAAAGGAGCTCCAGTCTTTGCCTTCACTTCCTTGTCTTCCAGTGCAAGACTCTTCAGCAGACAGCACAAGCCTTCAGCCTCCTGACACTTGACTCTAACAGGACACTACCCTGAGATCCAGGCCTTTTGACTGCACCCTTAGACTCTGTAGCAGGCAGAGAACCCTTTTGCTCTCTTCCACACTTAACTCTGCAAGTAGCTATTGTAAACCAATCTTGTAAATTCTTATACCTTTGTGTATCTTGCTTCTAAATCTGCTTCTCTAGTAGAATTGACTGACACAAGGTGGTTATAGTTCCTATAACCAGGGTGTTGGTCTTTGGAGAAGTTCAAACTTATACCTTCCAGCCAATCTGGGTATAATATTGAAGTAATGGTCAAAACTCGAAAATACTTAAAATTCTGAACCATATAAATTCTTTTCCAAAGCTACTATCACTAAATGAATGACATTCAATAAAAGAGCATCACATTATGATATTTAGCATTTCTTTATAATGAGTACCAATGTTTTATTAATATAAAACTATTTCCCATTTGAATATTTCCACAAGTATAAAAATTTTCTTGAGCTTCATATGGTCTCATTTTTTTCTAAGCTACAACAAATTTATCATCCAGGATTTTGAGAAATCTTATAATGAGAAGAAAAAGCAAGATGAAGCAAAAAAGTAATTATGGAGTAAATAAAAATAATGGATACTTAAAGAAAAGAAATTTAAATAATGTGCATTAAGTTATTTAGAAACATATTGAATTTCCAAAGCAAGAACAAAATATGGTGAGAAAAGTATTATAGTGGTGACAATAATTCCTGGAAAAATAAAGCAAGAAGAAAACTTTAAAAGAATTCTTTAAAACTAAAACAAAGATTAAGACACTTCATAAAAAGTACACAATTTTAAACCAAAATTATCGACATTCAAATAATAAGATTTTCAGCACAGTGGAGACAATAAAAAAAATAGCAGAATGGTACTGGAAAATATCTTCCAAACAAAATAATAAAATACAGTTGTTCACAAAGGAAATGTGTATGCTTATTAAGAAATATAACAAGAGTATATAAAAGATGGTAGGAAACAAAAAGTACCAAGAACATCTTTTCAAATTTAGAGAAAAAAAGCACTAAAAGTTGCTTTGTACTTCCAGTATCTTCTAAAAAACATAACATTGAAAAAAATAGCAAAACTTCTCAACACTTGTATTTTCAAAGATCTGAAGTATTAGAAGATATGCTCAGGTAATATTTCATTTAGGAATGTCATACTAAAAGAACAATGAAATAGCATTATGTGACTATTAGAATGATCAAAATTTATAAAAGTTACAAATATTCAGTAATAGAGAAAGCATAGAACAACAAGAATTCATATTTATTGATATTGGAAGTACAAAGTGAACTTGCTACTTTGGAATATAGTTGGCATTTTGCTATGTATCTAAAGATAGCCTTAGTATAAGATGATACAACTTTATCCAAGAATTTTTTAAAACTTCCTGTGTAAAGGATGTATACTTGTACCAGTGTCATTCAGTATAATACTGGAACACCAAGCCAGAGCAATCAGACCAAAGGAAGAAAGAAGCAACGTTCAGCTTGTTGCTCTTTGCAAGTTTGTAGATAACATGATCTTACCTATATAAATCCCCAAATCCTCCATAAACACACACACACACACACACACACACACACACACACACACACACACCACTTCCCAAACACAAACAGTTATATACTGAATAGTACAAAAATTAATCAAAATTTCAAGGTGCAACCTCCACATACAACAATGATTTATCTGATACAAGAAATGTTTTATCTGATACAACGATTTATCTGATATAGTCAGCAATATAAAGTCAGCAATAAATAAGTCAGCAATGAAGACTGTAAAATCTTATAAAATAAATTGAAGAAGACATAAACACACACAAAAAATTAGAAAGGCATCTCATGTTCATGAATAGAATGATCAATATTGCTAGAATGACCATACTACCTAAAGAAACCAACAAATTCAATGCAATATCAATAAAAATACCTTTGATAATCTTTTCATCCTCTTACTACCTGGAGAATCATGAAATGTGTATGGAACCACAACTCCTAATTACTCAAAGCCATTTGAGTAAAAGGAATGAAATCAGAGATATTACAGTTACTGACTTAAACTGCAAAAATTTATCATCAAAATAAGAGGAATTGGCATAAAAACAGACGTATTTGTGGGGTAGGACAACAAAAACCAAGATTCTAGAAGAAACTTATTTGTCTACAACCAGCCAGTTTTCCACAAAGTTGATAAAAACATGCACTGGAAAAGAACAGTCTTTTGAAGACACAATGCTGAGAAAATTTGACACTTACTGTAGGAGAATGAAATGAGAACCCTGTCTCTCAGCATTTCAAAATATCACCTCAAAGTGGATTAAAGATTTACAAGTAAGACATGAGTCTGCTGAAGGGAAATGGAAACCTGGAGCCAACCACCACGAACTGAAACTAGGAACCACAGTCAGCCCTTCCTTCCTTAAATTGTGTATGTGGCTATTTTGTCCCATCTCTGCAATCTTACTAGTCGAACTGCATTTCTCTAGAAACTGATCCTGAGACTTCTACAAGATGTAACATGGCTCAAACTGTCTTTCTACAGAACAAGAAAACTGGTATGAATATTCATATGTGTGTAAATATTTCATAAATCATTAGCATGCATGTGTTCTGGTGTCTGTCAGTTCATGGCTAAAGATTGCACTCGTGTGACTTCAGACTGCTGTTTACCCAGAGACAGTACGCTGTTAAGAAAAAAAACATTTGGATGCTGTACTGTACTGTGCATCTTGGAGAGTACTGTATATGTAGGGTACTGTGTATCTTGGAGAGGAGTGTAGAGTTTAATGTTATCTGTTACATGTGGCTTTTATAGAAAAGTCTGACCTTTTCCTTTCACTCTTTGATCTTAATTTTGTGTCTCTACTTTCTGTGTCCCCTGACTTCTTCCTGTTCATAATACATCAAATGTCATTTTGATCTCAAGACTAATGATTCACACATTTCTCTTCAAAAGACTTTTCCATTTCTTCCTGTACAGATCTCTAATTAAATATTTAGCTCTTAGAGAAGACCTCTTAAAGTAGCTAAAGTATTATGCTGTACTACAATTCTTTTTAATACTCTTGGTCTTTTTAATGAATACGACTTTTCTTCACCAACTAAAATAAAAATAACTAATAGTAAAGGCTTTGGCCATTACAATTCAGACCAGTGTTAGACAAATAATTTTTCAGGTAAATAATTACAGAGTGGATAAAAGTTACCATTTATAAAGTAAGAAGTTAAGCTATTACATGCATTAAAAGATAATGCTAAGGGCTTGTTATGGTTTGGTTCTGAAATGTCCCTGGAAAGCTCATTGAGAACTTAGTGCTCAATGCAGCAATGTTCACAGCTAGACCTGTTAGGGATGACTGGATGCTGAAGGATCATAACTTAATGGAACATTGGGAGGCAATTAAAATTTTACAAAGTAGAGCTCAATTGGAAAAGACAGGTTAATGCAATGTTGTTGATGCAGCTTTTAACCTGGCTCCACTCCATTTTTCCTTTACCTCTGTCTCTGTTCTCCCTGTCTCTGCACCTCTGTCTGTCTGTCTGTCTGTCTGTCTGTCTGTCTGTCTGTCTATCTGTCTGTCTGGCTCTCTCTGTGTCTCTCCCCTTTCTCTCATACCCTCTTTTTCTCCCTCCCTCTCCCTCTCCCTCTGTTTCTCTCTTTCTCTCTCTCTCTCTCTCTCTCTCTCTCTGTCTCTCTCTCTCTCTCTCTTCCTCTCTCTCTCTCTCTCTCTCTCTCTCTCTCTAGATTTCCTCCACCCTGCCATAAACCAAGTTATTCTCCCCCTCCACAGGGCCATAGTGACGATGCCAAGAACCATGAGCCAAAATAAATGTTTCCTCTAACTTTATTTTCTCTGACACTTTGTCACATCAATGAAAAGCTGACTAACAAAGGGCTCTTGTATTAAAAACATTAACATCATAACTTACTGGCTGTTGATACTCAGTAGCTCATTAGCTTTTCTATAACTCAATAATTTTAGAGTTATAACAGTAAAGGGCTGTCAAAGTCACTGTTAAATATATGTCCTTAGACTAGCCTTGTCATGGCAAGCATTCTGGAAGATACTGAGACACCTATATTTGATAATTAGGCAAACGATAGAGAACATTATCCTACTAAGTAAAAAACAAGAAGTACAGATAATCTACAAAGTTCAAATTTTATATTAACATATTATTTTAATATTACATAACAAGAAAAAAATGAATTTTAACCAGCTAAAATCTACCAAAGAAGAGAACAGGGGATAAGATGAAATGGAGCAAAAATGAGTTGATTTATTTGACATTTTATTATATAGACTATCATTAATTTTTGCAGAAAAATATGAACCAAATTATATAAATTAAAAGAAATGGCACTTTTTTGTGAAATTAGACCTATCAAGAGACTGGATAAAAAGAAATTATTACACAAAACCCAAAGTGTGTTTATAATTCCCTCAGAATTTAAAATTCTTCTTTTTTCTGAATACTATTTTAACAAATTTGAGTTGTGTGTAATTTTGATACAACATTTGATTTTTTTATATATGCATACAATAAAAATTACTAAATCATCTAGTTAACATATTCATCACCCTACTTACTTTTCATGATAAGAAAACTTTGAAATATATATTATTACTAACAATATAATACGTTATATAAATAGTAGAGCTCAAATTAATATTCCTCTGTTTACCTGAAATTTTGTGTCTTATCACCAAACTCACTTCATTCTTTCTCCCCTAACCATGCAATTTCTGGTAATCACAGTTTTATTTACACTCCACGTATAACTGAAAGCTTGCAGTATTTTGCTTTCAATTCTTTAGTATAATGTCCCCCAAGATCATTCATTTTTTTGCAAGTAACAAAAGTGTCTGCCTCATTGTTAGGTTTGTGTCTGGGTATCCCCCCAAAGTCTCATGTAGTGCTGGGTGGAAGGCTTTTCTCAGGTGGTGAAATGTGGAATTTGTGATTGATTCATTCTCTCATGCTGTGATTTGAGGTGTGAATGCTACACCCACACATTGATTTATTTTTACACATTTGTATATGTTGAACTATATTTATAATCCAGGTATAAATTCTGAGTAATTGTAGACAAGCTCACTTTTTGATCTTAAAGCTTTGAGTTTTCTTTTATAAAAATAATACACATAAAGAAATCATCAATTTAACTCTTGAGACATCAATTCATTTTTAGGTTTTATGTTATTGAACTATATTATTCAAAGATAAGTATTCTTGAAATATGTAAGATTAGAAATAATTGCTAAGTAAACAAATGTTATTCACCCATGACATTATTATGTTAAAGTAATTATATTTTAATAAAGATTCTGTATTGCACAAAATGAAACTTCAGTTGCAGTTTACATGTTAATTATAAATTAAAAGTTATATATATTTGGATAATTTATTGTCAGGTGCTGGGGATCTTAACAGGGTCTCACACTAGCTAGACAACTGACATAGAATTAAGCTATATTCCAGGCCCTGGATAAACAGGTTCAATTAATAAATTAGTTTTTTTTATAAACCATAAGTGTATGCATGTTGAATATTAACATTGTTTTACAGTGTTATCTACTGTAACTTTTTGAGTTGACCTCCATGTATACGCCCATGTCTTGCCAATTTCTTGATTTTGGTTGTCTAATTATGCTTAGTCCTTGATTGTGTTATATATCACTATCCAATTGACCTTTCCCACAATACATGCTTAGGCCTTATGCTTGTTTCATTTTTGCTTTTTTTTTTTTTAACAATTTTACTCTGTCTCTTAATATCTGTCTTTTCCATTTGAACACAAATATTCAAGTTTTATAAAAATACAAAAAGATAAAATCATAGATAAGAAAATAAAATCCTATTTGTATTAAACTGGCAAATTCTCCTCCATTCTAATAAAAAAAATCTGTCCTGAACTATTGATTTCTATCTATGAAGGAAGTTTTATTCCTTCTGTAGTTCCTCCAAACATTGACAAGCCAAGATAAACCTTTGATTAACACATTAATTTTTTAAAAATGAATATTTATCCAAAACCTGGTCAATGTAGTCACTATGTTCACAAACTATGGAGTAAACCTTTAATAGATACAGGATTAGTACTGAAATAGCGGGACATGCTTCCTTTTGATATATAATTAAAAGTTTTACTGAAAAATAGCAGTAATCTAAAATCCTTATTGGTTCATTAATTCTTGAGTCATTTTTTTTTAAAATCTGGTTATTTAGCAAATATAAGCAACTACAATGAATCAAACATTGTGCTTGGTTTTAGTTTTAAAAAGATAGTCATAAAACAAGTTTTCAAAGATATGTTTTAACAGCTAAACATAAAAACAAATACTATATAAAGCATTTAACAATACAGAGGAAGAAAAACTAATTTCATCAAAACAAAATGAAGGCAGTCCCAACAAAGAACAACCCTTATCTTTCACAATATCCACTCACCACTGATGAATATCTGTGTACACAGTACCATTTCAAATCATGTTCAGTCATGCTGTTTCATTACTTGAGATGGCTGGTCTTCTGGGATTTCTGGGCAAAGACTATTTTTTTTTTTTAAAGATAAAACTGAGTGGACTGATGTTGTGAAGAAACTACAGGGAAAAGAAAGAAGAAAAAGTAGGAAAGTGGTGTTAACACAGTGGTCATTTTGCAGAAGATTTCAAATGTCACATTAGACATCCTGGAATTTTCTGAAAACAGTACAGATCTTTTAAACAATTTTGTCCCATGGCAATAATTTCCAATGGTAAATCTGTAACCAATTGGAGCAAAATGAGAAATTAATATACATTCACAGAAGTGCAAATGACAAATAAATACATGAAGACATACTCAACATTGCTGACCATTAGAAAGATGCAAATTAGAGCCACACTGGAATTCCATCTCACCCCAGAAAGAATGAGTATCATCAAAACACAATCAAATAATAACAAATGCTGGAAGGCTACAGGGAAAAAGGAACCCTTTCACACTGGTGAGAATGCAACCTAGTACAGCCACTGTAAATATCATTATGAAGGCTTTTCCTCAAAAAGCTAAAACTGGAAATTTGATTTGGCCGTTATTCCCCTTCTAAATATCTCCTTAAAAGAGTTAAAGGCATCAGTCCTATAGTAATATATGCATGGTCTTATTTATAACAGCACAATTTATAATGGCTAAATCTTGGAAGCAGCAAATATGTCCATTAACAAATGAATGGATAAGGAAAACATGATATTTACACACCATGGAGCACTACTCTGCAACAGAAAGGTAAAATGGGTGCCTCTTGAGACCATAATGTTAAGTAAAATGAATCAGACTTGTATAAATAAATATCAAGTTTTATCTTACATGAGAAACCCGATTTATTTATAGCTAAAGCACAAAATAAAAGTAGAAATACAGAGATAGATATTTCTCAAGTGGGAAAAGGGTCCAGAGATGAAAGGGAAGTAAACAGGAGAAGAAAAAGCATTAAAATTCGTTTTACGCACCTCCTCATAAGGAATGTAAACACTGTGTACCCCGAACATGTACTAATAAACATTACCAT